AACTAGCACAAAGAATCAACAACTGGGATCTCATCTTATTAAAAAGCTTCTGCACTGCAAGAGAAATTACCAACAGAGCTAAGACACAACCTACAATGTGGGAAAAAATTTTTATCAGCTGTTCCTCAGACAAAGGACTACTATATCTAGAATATATAAAGAACTTTAAAAAATCAGACTCCCCAAATTCAAAGACCCAATTCAAAAATGGGCATCTGAAATGAAGAGACATTTCTCAGACAAAGAAGTAAAAGCAGCAAATAAACATGAAAAAGTGTTCAACATCATTGGTCATTCGAGAGATGCAGATGAAAACAACACTGAGATTCCATCTCAACCCAGAAAGAATGGCTGCTATCAAGAAATTAACCAACAACAAATGCTGGCAGGGTTGTGGGGAGAAAGGAACCCTTCTCTATTGTTGGTGGGAGTGCAGACTGGTTCAACCACTGTGGAAATCAATATGGAGATACCTCAAAAAACTAAGATTAATGCACATTGAGGCCACACTCTTAAGTGAAATAAATAGGATAAATGTGTAAATACCGAATAATTTCTCTGGTGTGAGAAACTAAAAGTGTAAATAAGAATCAAAATGTATAATTCATAATGTGAAACAGGAAGAAAAGGTCTAAAGGGGTAGGGAAAGTGAGAGGGGTAGGGGAAAGGAAATAAGGGAAAGAAAAAAATATGAGAAAAGGAAAATATGGAAACAGTCTTTGTAAATAAGGAGGGATGGAGGGGTTGAAGGGAGGGCATTGGAATCAGGAAAAAATAAGAACCAAGATACATCATGTAAAGGTACAAGATCCCAATGATGAATATAACTGTATTGTATACCTAAAATGTACCAACAAACTTAATGAATAAATAAATTAATTAATTAAATAAAATGAAATCTATGTAAATAGGCAAAGGTGGAGGGGGTGAAGGGTGCACAGGTAATGGGGAAAAAAATAAGAACCAAGATACATCATGTACAGGTATAAGTGCCCAATGATAAATGTAAACGTATTATATACCTAAAATGTACCAATAAAAGAATTTAAGGGGGAAAACAAAAACCAGACTCAGATATGGCAGAGATTTTAGAATTATTACTAGAAATTTAAAATAGCTATGGCAAATATGCTAAGAGCCCTGGTGGGAAAAGGTGAACAAAAAGGAAAAGTAGATGTATAATATCAGCAGAAAAATGGAAACTGCAAAAATGAAAAGGAAATGCTACAAATCAACAACATTATTAATAGTAAAGAACGTCTTCAGTAACAGACAAGGAACTAGGAAGCTCAGAGAATAACAAGCAGGATAAACACTAAAATACTCACATGTTGATATATATTAAAATTCCCAAAAATCAAAGAGAAAAATCTTGAAAGAAGCAAGAGAAAAAACCAAAACAACACCTTACTCACAGAAAATGATAATTACATCACATTTCCTCTTCTGAAATCATGCAATCAAAAAAAAGAAGTGAAATATTTAAAAGTGTTCAAAGAGAAAAACACCAAACTAGAACTGGGTACCCAGCAAAATTATCCTCTAAAAATGAAGAAGAAATAAACACTTTCTCAGACAAGCAAAAATTGAGGGAAATAAAAATTAGTTGACTTTCCTTGCAAGAAATGTTAAAAGAAGTTATTCAAAGGCAAGGTAAATTACAGGGCTGGGGATTTAGCTCAGTGGTTCCACCACCTGCCTCACCAGCATAAGGACCCGAGTTTGATGCCCAGTACCAAAAAAAACAAAAAACAAAGACAAGGTAAATTACGTAGGTTTAAAAAACCTAATTATACAAATAAATGTGGGATATATAGAAGGAATAAAGGTAAAATTAAATCTCTTATTTTTCTTATTCTTAATTGATTTATCAGGTAAGAATTTGTTCCAAATAATAACACAGGTTAATTATCCCTTATCCAAAATTGCTGAGACTATACACTGGATTTTTTTCAGATTTTGGAATACAGTATTTACACATAATAAGATACACTGATTGAGGAGGGAACCCAAGTCGAAACACTAAACTCATTTATTTCATATATACCTTATTACACATAGCCTAAAGGTAATTTTATATAGTGCTTTTAGTGACCAGTGTTTCCACTGTGAAAAAAATCACATAGGTCAGGTGTGAAACTATCCACTCGTGGCATCATCTGGGTACTCAAAGAGCTTCAAAACGACCATTTTGGATTTCTGATTTTTCAGATTAGGAATGCTCAGCCTACAACACATTTGGTGATTGTAGATTATGGAAAAATGAAAC